CGAGTGATGGTAATGGCCCTTGTATTTCGTGCACAAGTTTAACAAAATACACTTGTTTAAAGTGCAAAAAATTTATATGTACAAGGAAATCGAAGATCAGAAGAAATACTCCAAACTTTCTTCCACCAGCCGGAATTTCTATCTTGTCTTCGACATAATCGTTAAGGAGGGCTACGTATTAAGGCATTTTTTTGACCAATTAACGGTAGAAAAACAAGGGAAATTTGCAGAAGCTGCCGTCTCGTTTCTAATAGTTTATTTGCTGTAACATGCATCAATATTCGTCTTTTCCTATTAACACGAATCATATTTGAAATGCATAAACCATTGAATTCTATAATAACTGGAGCGGCTATCTCAAGCGCGGCCTTAGATATCTGATGATGCCAAAAAAATGGCGGATTTCGTCCTTTGCCGCTGAGATTTACCGAAATTGACCGCTTTTCCGAAAATTTCACAATTTCCCACTCCCTCCTGAGGAAAGAGTGAGAAAAATGTATGTGTGTATTTGGGATTCGGCAAGCAATTTTTTGATTAAAATCAAGGTAAAAACCTTAAATTCATAACAGCGAGACAACTGTGGTTGTCAGTTATCTGCTCCTACGAGGATGCATTTATAACTATCGACGAAAGACCTATGTGTCGGCTACACATGTATCAATGCAGAATTGCAGTATATTTGGCGTTCAAGTCAGTCTTAAAAAATACGATCTTTAATATGTATTTTATGGCTTTTCAAGTGCATGTATAATTGCTATTCAATCGTTGACGGACTAACAAAACAAACAACTATCTCATAGTCAGGGGCTGAGTTAAGGGTACCTCGACAAAAATACTAAGTGCAACTTTTTTCCAGAAATGTGTTCAGGGACCATATGAATGTATTTTAGGACATATTGCCACTTCCCAAACCCTGGGCAAGTGCAAAATATAACCTACTAGCAAAATGGGAAAAATCGGAAAAACCGTGTATTCCTTGGTACCAAAATTTCAATACTTGATAGTCAAAAATACTTCTTATATCATTTTTTTTAGCATAAGCTCCGGTAAGACGTTTTATTTAGCGAATCTTAATGCAAATTAATATATTTAGATGATATTAAAACTTTTGGATAGGCCAATTCATAACATTTTTTCACTAAAAAACCCAAATATACACCGATTAAGTGACATTTACAATATATGTTTCATTAATTTTTGAAAACAGGTTAATAAAACATTATCCTATCACATTGTCTATCATGTTTCATTTTCATCTTCACTTGCTGATTCTTCTTCTCCAGAATTATCACCATCATCTTCCGCATAGCCACCGGCATTCCATATATTTCGACAATCTCCCTCGCATTTACAATGTTCTGTGCATCCAATCTGTGACTTTGCACAGGAACATGCCATTGACTTGCATTTCGAAACTAAATATTAAATATAATTTTTAAAGCATATTTTCCCAGCATTTATTTTACCTTAAATGCTTAGTTGTGATGGTTAATCCTACTATGAAATATTAATGACACTTCGTTCAGAAGAAAAATTATAATAACAACTTTAATCAATGTTTATGAACGTTGAAGTTTGCAAGTTTATTTAAAATTGAAGGTATTTGATTGGGAATATTTTTTCTAAGAATTGCTTTTTGTATTTAAAAGTAGTACCTGAGCAGCCACAGCTGTTAATTTTGAGCACTTCATCAGGAGCAGCTTTCATTCCCCTAGGCATCATAATTGGTTGTAACGTTTTGCTTTCAGTATCTTTTAACCAACCATACTAAGATAATAAATTACAAAAGAATTCTTAAATCATATATATTTGTGGGTAAAATTCATTTTTCCCACCTCCATGACACAATATGTTATTGATATAAGAAGTCTTTTTTCCCTACCTTACATGCATCATATGCCGGAGGATCACACTGAAGGCAGGAGCCCCAAATCAGACGTTGGTATCTTGCACGTTTGATATTGAAATCAAGGACGTCATCTGTTGGTGGCAAGGATTTCAAAGCAGGAGGTTTTGACGTTATTTTGGCTCCTTTGGTTCTTCGTTGCCAAATTACCTGTCTAAGGTTAAAAATAGGAGAAAAAGCATATCAAAACATATAATTACCAAAGCTAAAACATATAGTCAGCTCTCAGTTATATGTTTACAATGTAAGTTTTATTTTAAACATCAATGGAAGCAAAATTAATAGCGTCCTAATCTTTTTACAGCAAGAAACAGAAACTTATAGTTTATTAGAAAGACAATCCGAAACAAAATTTGTTTAGATTAGTACAGTAATAATTAGAGGCTTATTATTACATTTTGAAAGAAACATAAGTTATCTTCAAAATAAATTATGTACTATAATAGTTGGATGTACCTATTTTTTGAGGAACTCTCATATTGTGCACTATAACATGCAGCAATAAATTTTCTTGATTCTGATAAGTACTTATCTTCAGTGGCATCTATTTCACCAAGAAAAGATAACTTCAACGTGGCAGCGACTTTTAGAGCTTTCTTTTTTTCTATTCCAAAATACATTGGTACAGTGTCGCAACCAGATAGAGCATGTACAGATAACAATTCAGGGATCAATGGTTTATGTTTCTTTACTGGATCGTTTATTGATATAATGTTTTTTCCTTCTGTGAAATCAGTCATATAAACATCTATGTTCCAGTTTTTAAAGTTATAACAGTGACAAAGCAAAACAAAAACATCAGTGTCTTCACAAATTACTTTAACAGATTTTTTTCCATCGGCTATTGTTTCTGATACTTGGTAAGGGATAAACACATCAGCTTCCTCCTGTCTTGACTTTAGATCGTTTCTTATCGTCTGAACTCCTAAATGTACTTGATATGGTGTTTCAGCTTCTGCTGTAATGATCAGTTTGTTTGAATGGTTTGGAATATTCTTGAGCAAGTCATCTTTTGCCATCTCAATTAATTGCTTTTTAGTGTCTGTCACTTTCATGGCTATCTCTTTTGCTGGAAGAGGACTTGAAGAACTAAGGTTATGAGATCGTCGGAATTGAGATAACCTTTCTTGTCTGGTATCTGATTTAATACTATAATCATGGTGCCTGTCAAACACAAGATAAACATCTGTTTGAGCTAAGATCTTTAAAATATACGATCGTAAAGAAACCAATAAATCAGACACTTTACCACCTTTTGGCCAGTATAAAGCGCTATGGATCATTGCACATCCATCAATCAGTGTTGCTTCTGGTTTAATATTTCTCACTGAAATCTCTACTTTTAACGCATTTTTTAAATCAGCTTTAGCTGTGGGGTATCTACCTTCACCAGTGTCTTTAAATAAAGGGTAGGTATAGGTGTTAACTCATATGAAAAAAGATCATTTATGTTGATTTTATTCGCTGAATTTAAGTAGAGAACCCTTGAGAAAATAATTTCAGTATTATATACCTCCACAGCGGTTTTATTCTTCACCTCTTTTGGAGTTTTCATAGTTACAACTTCCTTCTTTAATTTCGACCGGAAGCCTTCAGGTAAATTACTCTGAAATGATTTCATTTGCTCTTTACCAATGTCTACTGCTTTGTTAACATTAATAGTTTTTCCTGCTATCTGACCAGTGTATATATTACAGAGGCTAGATAAAGTGTGGGATTTACTCTCAAGTGGGTGAATGCAGGTTATGAGAAAATTCTTTAACTTCGTTTGATCAACTTGGTCATTTTTAATTCTACCAGATGTTTCTTCTTTGTGTGTTGTCATGATTTTCTCATCCTTATTCCGCAACTCATCTAAACTTTGACCAGAATCCCGTAAATTACTTTCCGGATAGTATTCTAATCAAACATTTTGAAACATCGGTTCATAATATGTGCGATTTATCATATATTGGTGATTTTTACAGGAGGTCAATATCTAGGACTTGCCCAGGGTTTGGGAAGTGGCAACATGTCCTAAAATACTTTCATATGGTCCCTGAACACATTTCTGGAAAAAAGTTGCACTTAGTATTTTTGTCTAGGTACCCTTTAAAAACAGCGTTTCAGCCCCGGACTATCACCTGTGAGAAGCGATATGTTCCTTTTTGTGGAAACTACGATATCCAACAATTGAACGATTGAAGTGTTGGCATTATAAAAGAAATGCCAGAAAAGATATCGTCACAGAATATGGAACTAACGATATCCATATTCTGTGATATCATGTTTGTTTTTGAAAAATTCTTTATAATTTACTATAGACACCAGGGGGAGGTCGAGAATATTATTTTTCTGCAAAGCGATCATTTAAGCGGAAATACGTCCTTTGGCCGCCATTTTTTTGGCATCCTCGCCCCAGTAAAGTTAGCCCCTCCAGTTATTGTAGAACTCAATGGCATAAACTCAACATTTTTCTGTTCGCCATTTTAGGAAATTAGTACAAGAAAATGAATAAACTATGAAAAAGTGGAAGCATAACTATAATAAATGCGACTATTAAATTCGACGTCTGAATCAAACTACGCATAAAACTCTTTTAGTCGACTAAAACTCAGATTTGATTCGGCGCATGTAAAATGCGACGTTTGAACCGGGCCTTAGATTTCAAATACATATTCCATTATGGTGCAGTCAATATTGAAGCAAAGAGTTAAATCTGTTTTAGGAAATATTTTTCATTGACCTTATAGTCCCTTCAAATTTACAACATACACGAAAAAAACACAAATTAAGGTACGCTAGACACATAATATTTTATGATCATTACTCAATATGGTGACAGTCTCACTTTCCCCCAGGTTGTACGGTATTTAAAATCTCAAATATAAATGTTGTGTGACGCCACAGTTGCTTTTACTATAGCATGAATATTTTATGAAATTTTTAAAACGTAATCAATTTTATTTTAAAATTATCTGAAGTTGTTCATTTCATTTTGTATTACCACAAGAGAGACAACATACTCGTATTTGTCATTTTAAGCGATAACATTTAGTTGAATGTGATGTTGAAAATATGATATGGTGTTGGATTTCATCGGTTGATTGTTGTGCCCAACTTAACTCGCCTTCGCTTTCATTCTTTTTTAAATTGTTTGGGATAGAAGTCTTAGTAAATAGATTGGCAATCTGTTCATAAAAGGTTCGTAAAACAAAAGACAAAGAATTATCATGCGTGTTTACGATGTATAAATGTGACTTTTTTAAATTGTTCGCCAAATGTTAAATCATTTTACATTTTGAATAAAATTTTAGTCTCATTCATTACCTATTGCACTCAAAGAATCCTCTCTAATGTCTTTTCAAAACAGAATCGCTGCTCACTTTGCCAAATAATGTCGTGATATTTAAATGTAAATACTTAGCTAAGTTTGTAGTCTATAGAATGTAATTTAATGTTCTAGGAACTGTACTTTGTTAATTTAGTTAATTCTGTAATTATAGTCCAATCAAACAAAGTTACCAATCAAAACAACAACAATTTGCTTACCAAAGACAAATCACTGTCATTTGAAGCAAGGTATGTTTATCTTTGTAAATTATGTGTGTTATTTCTATAACTTTGTCATGATATTAAATGACATTTATAAGCCACTAGTTGTTATAAAAGTTTGGAAATTTTCATCATTAAATCAATTTATATCTGCAATAAACTAGTATCACATATTATATTTAAGTTCCAGTTTTTTGAAACGGCTAAAGAATTTCGCAAATATTTGTTGTACATTGCAAATGTGTTTTGTTTCTCTTGGTTTAGATGTATAAAAAAATATGTATTTATAATTCAAAGTACTTTTTAAAAAACTCTATCGGCAAAAGTTTAGTTACAAAATATTCTTTAGAAAATTTTTAACCCTTGAAATTATTGCTATTATATTTTAAATCTATAATTAGGTGCTATATAATGTATTCTGACTTAACCTAGACTTGCCTCTATTTTGTGAAAAAATGTGTAAAATGTTTTTGTTAATGTAACATGTTATCTTATTTAATTTAGGTCCATAAAAACCATGTTTTATGCTACAAACCCTTTATCTGACATCATTGAGAAATGGCAAACTTGTGATTCAAATATCGACAATTTTGTGTAAAGTTTAAGGTACCATACACTTGCCTTTCATATCTGTGCATGCAAAGAAAAAAAGAAATTTTGTCTGACAAAGGAAACATTTTCGATCATTTTATTTTAATACAATTGCTCAAATGTACATCTCATCACAGTCATTTTTAACTCATAACCTTCACCCCTTGACCCAAATATGTACACTAAGGCAGATATGAAGGATTTCATAAAAAACACAGTGGGATAGAGCATGTGTATGTAACGTCATTCATGTCATGTGTTCAAAGTTAAATGTTACAACTGGTTAATACATGCTTCATTACACATGCTTCAGTAGTTTTTCTATCTACACATGCTTCAGTAGTTTTTCTATCTACACATACTTAAGTAGTTTTTCTATCTACACATGCTTAAGTAGTTTTTCTATCTACACATGCGTCAGTAGTTTTTCTATCTGTACATGCTTTAGTAGGTTTTCTAATTACACATGCTTCAGTAGTTTTTCTACCTACACATGCTTCAGTAGTTTTTCTATCTACACATACTTTAGTAGTTTTTCTATCTACACATACTTTAGTAGTTTTTCTATCTACACATGCTTCAGTAGTTTTCTATCTACACATGCTTCAGTAGTTTTTCTATCTACACATGCTTCAGTAGTTTTTCTATCTACACATGCTTCAGTAGTTTTTCTATCTACACATGCTTCAGTAGTTTTTCTATCTACACATGCTTTAGTAGGTTTTATAATTACACATACTTCAGTAGTTTTTCTATCTACACATGCTTCAGTAGTTTTTCTATCTACACATGCTTCAGTAGTTTTTCTATCTACACATGCTTTAGTAGTTTTCTATCTACACATGCTTTAGTAGTTTTTCTATCTACACATGCTTCAGTAGTTTTTCTATCTACACATGCTTCAGTAGTTTTCTATCTACACATGCTTCAGTAGTTTTCTATCTACACATACTTTAGTAGTTTTTCTATCTACACATGCTTCAGTAGTTTTTCTATCTACACATACTTCAGTAGTTTTTCTATCTATACATGCTTCAGTAGTTTTTCTATCTACACATACTTTAGTAGTTTTTCTATCTACACATACTTTAGTAGTTTTTCTATCTACACATGCTTCAGTAGTTTTTCTATCTACACATGCTTCAGTAGTTTTTCTATCTACATGCTTCAGTAGTTTTCTATCTACACATGCTTCAGTAGTTTTCTATCTACACATGCTTCAGTAGTTTTTCTATCTACATGCTTCAGTAGTTTTCTAATTACACATGCTTCAGTAGTTTTTCTATCTACACATGCTTCAGTAGTTTTTCTATCTACACATGCTTCAGTAGTTTTTTTCTACACATGCTTCAGTAGTTTTCTATCTACACATGCTTCAGTAGTTTTCTATCTACACATGCTTCTGTAGTTTTTCTATCTACACATGCTTCAGTAGTTTTTCTATCTACACATGCTTCTGTAGTTTTTCTATCTACACATGCTTCAGTAGTTTTTCAATCTACACATGCTTCAGTAGTTTTTCTATCTACACATGCTTCAGTAGTTTTCTATCTACACATGCTTCTGTAGTTTTCTATCTACACATGCTTCTGTAGTTTTTCTATCTACATGCTTCAGTAGTTTTTCTATCTACACATGCTTCTGTAGTTTTTCTATCTACACATGCTTCAGTAGTTTTTCTATCTACACATGCTTCAGTAGTTTTTCTATCTACACATGCTTCTGTAGTTTTTCCATCTGCACATGCTTCAGTTGTTTTTCCATCTACACATGCTTATGAATTTGATGATCGATAAGCGCAAGCACGCATGCGCCATGATACGGTTTGCTACGATACGTTACGATACGTGGTCTAGTGGAAAACAGGCTTAAATGATCAATGAGCAGCGTGAGTCTTTTCATCTTTTTTGGTATTTAGTCTTAGATCTGCATAATTCAGTAAAACTTCTTTAACGTTTTGATAAGATTTTTCTCCAATCGTATCTACAGTACCGCTCGCGTATTTCTTAACATACGATACGCGCATGAAACGCGTATCATACGAGATCGATACGCGTATCATACGCAAAACTATGTTAACAAATACGCGAGCGGTACTGTAAAGCTATATCAGCGGCTTGTAGTCTTCCGGCAAACCTGCAAGCAAGGTCATTGCTAATTTTTGATCATTATTTTCCAATTCCCTTTTTTTTTAGTTGGTCGTGATGAGATTTTAATTTGTTGATATAATCGAGTTTGTTTTCAACACTTTTTAACCTTCAGGAATTATAGTTTTGTCGTATTAGGACAATCTTTGAAATAGAAGTTGTGGAAAACTGATTTCTTAAAATATCCATGTCTCTTTCGCTGTTTGTGTATTCCTTACATGGATTTTCTGTTCTTTTTGACTACAAACAAATGTATGTCTATCCTTTCTTCGAAGCAACTCTAAATGCTTGCTTTACTGATGAGACGCGTTTTTTGATAGGATTTCATATGATCCATCCGCATTATCAAACAAATTAATACTTTTCAGAAACAAACGCATGTTAAGTGCCCAATTTCTATTATTTTGTCTTTTTAACTTCGGTATTTTACTGAAAGATCCGTCTACAAGGCCATATTTAATCTTACACGCATTCAAGTCTCCTAGGCCGTGACCAGTTAAAATAATAAGTCATGTGTGACGTCATTCAAGTCACGTGCAAAGATTCATCTTATTAAATAAGAAGAAACATGCTATCCCTGATTTCCCATCAATCTTACCTTGAATAACTTCGTCAATATAAACAATCAAAATTAAATATTCAGCACATCACCTGATACATTATTGAAAACATCTTCTGCATCACCACGTTCTTACTCAAGTAGTCTGGCATACAAGGAATCGCTAAAAACAGAATAAAATTTACCAAATGGTTGTGAAAACTTTCTATAGTTGTTTCGATTTGAGCAAGACTTGGATTCATTATGTCCTTTAAATGCCCGCTCTTTTTTAGACAAGACAACATCAAAATTACTTTTTTCTCTTTTCTGGCTTTCTTTCTCATCATGTCGCTTCATGGCCACTTTTATTGTTTTAAAAAAATAATTTTTACACACTTGTTTTAATCCATATCCATCGTGTTCAACATATTGTACGTTTGAAAAAGCAATTTAATTTTTTACGTTCCTGGAAACTGTCCAACAATTGATGCATATGTTTACATAACCAATGTTTGTCTAAGTTTTGTTTTAGATAAAACTGAAAGTAGGGTCAGTAAAAAACTGCTGTCCGTTGACAATAGCTCACAACCAATCTTTCCTCTCTTACCAAGACGGCTAGAAGCTCCTACATCTTGTTTTTTCTCTGAGTAGCATATCATAGGGATGGCTTACGGCTTACTATCATAGTTTTTCTGAGCTTATTTACATTTCACGTTAAAGATCCACCAACCAAAACGCATTGTTTTATTAATGCAAAGTAAAATCTTTCATTTTACGTACAATTTATTAATTTAAAAGTTAATCGTTTACCTTAGCCTATGTTTGATTATTTATCTTAAATTGACAATTTTTAGTAAACAATTCGTGGTTTCTTAAACTGAAAAAATAATTTTTGCCATTACAAGTCAATCTTCATAGCTAATTTAAAACACATTTAGGCAGTCCAGACATGGTGTCATTTGTTACAAATTATTTTAAAACAAGTATATTTCAAATGTCATATTTTGTATATTTAATTTTCGAAATTTCTTGATTTTAATGATGTTGATATATTAATTTTTGTACAGATGGAATCAAGAGGAACAAGAAATCTGTCTTACTATCAGCAAATTATTATCGTGGTTCAAAAGGAACTTGCTCAGTTCTTCATTAAAGAATGGAACACTCGCTACAAATCAATACATGGAGAATGGGATGATACCAAAAATAGTGGCAAAAAATTTTGCACTTTAGAATCGGGTAGGAAGTTGAATAAAAAACTACGATTAAAATATCAGGATGGAGAAACCAGTAAGTGGGACTGCACAACATTATTTAATGCAATACTTTATTCAAATTCAATTGGAAAGCATCTTGACAAAAGAACAAAGAATGCTGTTCATGCACTTCGTTGTGAAAGAAACAAGTACGCACATTGGTATGAAAGGGAATGCTCAGATGATGATTTTGATGATATAGTCAGTATCATTGAAAAATCATTTAAATATTTAAATTTTTCTCTCGATGAAATCAATAAAATAAAAAATCATCGTAACAGTTTTAATTCGTTCCAAGTGCTTCCTTCAAAACCCAATCATTTTATCGTTGAACGCACTGAATTACACGATAAAATCATAAACGATCTTGAAAAATTAAGGAATGATAACAATAACGAACTGACATATTTCTACATCACTGGTAATCCTGGCAGTGGTAAATCTCAACTGGCGAGACAGGTTTGTGAAAAAATATCGTGTGATTGGAAAAATAGAACTTCGTTTGTAATGACTCTCGATGGAAAAAATGAGGACTCCCTTTTGAAAACTTACCGTGTACTTGGATACCGTTTAAACTGTGACAAGGATATGATTAAAAAATTTGATGATGAAAATTGTTCCATCACAGACAAAGTGAAGAATTTGCGATGGTTAGTATCCACACGATTAAAATTCTGGAAAAATTGGTTGATCATTGTAGACAACGTGGAACAGCTCAGCAAAATTTCTTCGTTACTTCCCCAAGTAGGTGATCCCATGTGGATAAATGGACAAATCATGGTAACTATCCAGAACACAGATGCCGTACCTCAAGACGATGAGTTTAACAAACATGTTTCCATAAAAAGTGGAATGAATGATAGGGAATGTTTTGAACTATTGAAGCATTACACTATTGAACATGCTGATGATAAATTGTTGAATGAAGTATCGCACGCATTAGATCGTCAACCGCTGGCTTTGGCTAATGCTGGTTGTTATTTCAGTCGTTTAAACAAAGCAAACTGCCCATTTACTTGGAGACAATATTTAAAGAAATTATCTTCAGAAGAACAAGAAAACATGGACACCAGTTTTGTTAAATTAAACTCGGTATATCCTAGAAGTATGTTACAAGTTTCACTTTTAGCTGTCAGACAAAATGCTGATAATTCCTCAATTTTGGCAATTGTTATTAACTTTTTTTCCGTGATATCGTTTGATCCTATACCACGAGACATTATTATTTGTTATGTTCAACTAATTGATTCCAAACACTCAAAGGAAGATATATGTCTTTGCTTAAATGACTGTTCATTGTTCTTGCATTCAGAAAATAATGACATTAGTCTACATCGCATTGTTCACAAAGCAATTACTGTTTACCAATTTGAACATTCAAATAAAGAACATGAAATGGAAACTAACGTTGATAAAATATGTAAAGCACTTTACATGTTTAAAAAGAGAGACGACGAAATCAAGTTAATGCCACATCTTGAAAAATTTGCTCAATTATTAAAGGCCAACGAGACAAAAATCAACACGAACACTTTACAAGTTTTCGAATATTTTGTTGAAATAGAAATACATTTTGGAAAATTCGATCTTGCTTTTGAACTGTTGGATAAATTTAAATCAGAAGAATGTAGTTATGATAAAGCTTGGTATTTTAGTATCCTTGGTCTTTTATACTATGAAACCGGGAAGTATAGCAAAGCTAAAAATCATCATAAAAAAGCTCTGAAAATTAAAAAACAATCGTTTGGTCCAAATCATGTTGATGTCGCTACGACTTTAATCAGTCTTGGTTTGGTGTATTCTAAAACTGGAAATTATGACAAAGCTATAGAGTTTTACGAAAAAGCTCTGGAAATTAGAAAACAATCGTTAGGTCCAAATCATGTTGATGTCGCTAGGTCTTTAAACGATCTTGGTAATGTGTATTCTGATACTGGAAACTACGGAAAAGCTATAGAGTTTTACGAAAAAGCTCTGGAAATTCAAAACAATCGTTAGGTCCAAATCATGTTGATGTCGCTATGTCTTTAAACAATCTTGGTACGCTGTATTCTGATACTGGAAACTACGACAAAGCTATAGAGTTCACAAAAAGCTCTGGAAATTCAAAACAATCGTTAGGTCCAAATCATGTTGATGTCGCTAGTCTTTAAACAATCTTGGTACGGTGTATTCTGATACTGGAAACTACGACAAAGCTAGAGTTTTACGAAAAGCTCTGGAAATTCGAAAACAATCGTTAGGTCCAAATCATGTTGATGTTGCTGAGTGTTTAAACCATCTTGGTGTGGTGTTTACTGAAACTGGAAACTACGACAAAGCTATAGATTGTCTCAAAAAAGCTCTGAAAATTCAAAAACAATCGCTAGGTCCAAATCATGTTGTTGTTGCTCGGTCTTTAAACAATCTTGGTAATGTACGTGAAAAAACTGGAAACTACGACAAAGCTATAGATTGTCATGAAAAAGCTCTGAAAATTAAAGAACAATCGTTTGGTCCAAATCATGTTGATGTCGCTACGACTTTAATCAGTCTTGGTTTGGTGTATTCTAAAACTGGAAATTATGACAAAGCTATAGAGTTTTACGAAAAAGCTCTGGAAATTAGAAAACAATCGTTAGGTCCAAATCATGTTGATGTCGCTAGGTCTTTAAACGATCTTGGTAATGTGTATTCTGATACTGGAAACTACGGAAAAGCTATAGAGTTTTACGAAAAAGCTCTGGAAATTCAAAAACAGTCGTTAGGTCAAAATCATATTGAAGTCGCTATGTCTTTAAACAATCTTGGTACGCTGTATTCTGATACTGGAAACTACGACAAAGCTATAGAGGTTCACAAAAAAGCTCTGAAAATTCAAAAACAATCGTTAGGTCCAAATCATGTTGATATCGCTAGGTCTTTAAACAATCTTGGTACGGTGTATTCTGATACTGGAAATTACGACAAAGCTAGAGAGTTTTACGAAAAAGCTCTGGAAATTCGAAAACAATCGTTAGGTCCAAATCATGTTGATGTTGCTGAGTGTTTAAACCATCTTGGTGTGGTGTTTACTGAAACTGGAAACTACGACAAAGCTATAGATTGTCTCAAAAAAGCTCTGAAAATTCAAAAACAATCGCTAGGTCCAAATCATGTTGATGTTGCTCGGTCTTTAAACAATCTTGGTAATGTACGTGAAAAAACTGGAAACTACGACAAAGCTATAGATTGTCATGAAAAAGCTCTGGAAATTCAAAAACAATCGTTATGTCCAAATCATGTTGATGTTGCTACATCTTTAAACAATATTGGTAATGTGCTTGAAAAAACTGAAAACTACGACAAGGCTAATGAGTTTCACGAAAAAGCTGAGGAAATTCGAAAACAGTCGCTAGGATCAAATCCTCCCCAATTGTTAGCCCCTCCTCCTAAAAAAATGAAGGTTAAAATCCCAAAATCTAGTACTTACTGAATTTGTATTAGAACACGTAGCTTGCAATAAATGCTGCCAATTGTTTTAGTTGTCATTTAAAATCTTAGTTTTGTGTAAAATGTTGATTGTACAGTATTGCTCATTGCATTGTTTTTATTATGTGTTTTGTAATGAAGTATAACTAAATAATAAAAATTTCTGAACTTACTTCTAGTACTGCGTTTGTACAGGACTCTAAAATGTTAGAAATCTTTACAATAGGGGTCTGGTCAACTGAATCAACTCAGTACAACCTCATCCATAAATTCCTTAAACTTCTGTATGTCTAAATAACAGGTCAGGAACTTCTTTTAGGGAAGGTTGTGTAAGCTGCTTCAATTTTTTATTTTGATAAAGTTTTTTTTGCTTATTAATGTCGTAACTGGCCACTGGGGAAAGTAAGAGCATTAATTGACGGTTACCATAGAGCTTTAGGTACCCAGTAAAAAATTATCAAGAATTCTTTTTGTAATTAAATTATATTTATTGAAAATCAATTTACGAACTAGAGATTGTGATATAACTTTATGATTTTAGTTATTGTCAATAAAACAAATATTTTTTGTGCTACGAAATGTTTTTAAGATGTACTCTTAACTCATTAACTGATATAAACAACACACAAAAAGAAAAATCCTCCAAAAATTTACTGTTATAAAATCTAAGTTAATAAATTCCAGGTAATTAAACACAGCAAAAATTAGACTTGCTAAATGCCAAGTGAAGAATAGAGTCCTTTACGCTTTTAAGATGGACGTGTCTTGCAGTGAAAAAATCACATACTAAAATGATTATTAAAAAGTTTGATTATCAATTTGATCAAGTATTCAGCAACATATTATAGGTGTTAATCAGTTTAAGGAATGCCCAATTTATCACATCAAAACAAGGCAATCGCAATGGCATTTTAGAGTTTGCTGAGATTCATTCATTTAGCAGTTATAATAAATTCATCGAGAGAGGAATTTTCTTTTTGTGTGGTGTTCAGATTATTCTTTATTTAAATTTGCCAATGAAATTTATTTATGTATAAGCACTATAAATTAATAAATACGATCATTCAGACCATATCTAACAAGAGCAAGGGGTGCTCACCAATATCTGATTAGCGGAGCGCTCCCAATGGTTGTGTGACGCCACAGTTGCTTTTACTATAGCATGAATATTTTATGAATATTTTTAAAACGTAATCAATTTTAATTTAAAATTATCTGAAGTTGTTTCATTTCATTTTGTATTACCACAAGAGAGACAACATACTCGTATTTGTCATTCTAAGCGATAACATTTAGTTGAATGTGATGTTGAAAATGGGATTTACTATTTGTACAGCAGTTCATGTCGTGACGTCACTTGTGCCGATTGCGTAATAACACGAAAACTACATTTGAGAGATCATATGAAGAGATGGATCGATGACACTTCAGCTGTTCGTGGAATATGCGTGTATGAGTATGAGTGGGTGAACAAGTCTCTAAACAATGTATCTTAATTTTTAAATACACTGTGTTTACAATGTATCTTAATTTTAAAATACACTGTTTAGATAACTTTTATATCTTTTTTTAAATAAACATGTATATTTAGCGATAAATTAGTAACTATCGACAGAGGATTTGCTCAGAAATCGTTCGAAATACAAGAATTATAATGTTGACAAAAGTGATTTGACTCGTTCTCGCATGGCTGATATCTCGGCATGATCGAATGATTGGCGAAAATCAGGAATTTTCATCAACATCTCTCCAGTCAATGGTTCCTAGAAAATGGTGAGTAGAAAGTAAAATGTGTTAAGATAATTAGTAGAGTTTTGCCATATATAAAACAACAAACATGATTAATAAAGCTACAGGTAGTTGTGTATGTCATTGTTCAAATAACTAAGATAAGTCTTAGATTATTAACTGTGCATGGTCTGCATGGAGTTACCTCAATTAACATCTCTGCAAATTTCATGACATAAACTCCACAGTCAACTGAGTTTGGTTGCTGTGGTACCTAAAACATGTGAGATAGAAAAAGATGTTTATGGATGAGGGTTTACAACTATATTATATATATATATATTTCTTTGGTTACCTTACAAATTGACTTACCAATGGGTAAACAACCCGATTGCTCCTAAAATCATGTTCAAGTTTTTTTCGGGCTGCCCATTCAATGTTTAGGTATCTAAAGTCAAGAAATGTGTTGATAATTTTAAAAATATAGCTCAGCCTATAAATATATATATATATATATATATTTGAAAATTGGTAACCAGGCATATTATGATAATGATAAGGATTCTCTGGATTTGTTTTAAATTTTTATTAAGCTTTCAACTCGGTGCTTCGAGCCTTCGTCAGAATGTGACAATATATTATTTACAAAGATTTTGTAGGCGCTTGGAGCGTCTGATTGGTTGGTTAGTAGTTGAGTTGATATTATTGGATGGTATAAGATGCGTTGTCATGGTTTCGGGTGTATCGATTACGTTAATGAAATTCGAGTGTTTTATTTTAGTCGTTGTGTTATTAATTTGTTGTTTTGGTTTTGTCTTTAGTTGTGAATAGATGATGGGGATGTCAATATGTCTGTTAATTGTGTTGTTGTCTTTGCTGTACCATGCCTCTTTGAATTCTCGTGCGTGTTTTGTCTGTGCGCGTCCAAGAAGTTGTGTTTTGTCCAGTCAAATGTGTGGTTGGTATCGTAGGTATGTTCTGCTGGTAGTGATTTTGGGTCGCGTCGTTTGATGGCATTCTTGTGTTCAGTGAGTCTTGTTTCAATTTTCTTGGATGTTTGTCCTATGTACTGTTTGGGGCAATCTTTACATGGTATCATGTAGACCGCGTTGGTTGTGTCGAATGTCGTTGTTCGGTCTTTATGTTTAGTGAAGTATGATTTGAGTTTGTGTGTTGGTTTATGTGCGATGTTTATTTTGAATGGTCGGAGTAGTCTTGATGTCATTTCTGATGTTCCGTTTATATATGGTAATGTCACTATTTTTACTGGTTCGTCTGTATCTTCGTTAGGTTTTTCAGTTTGTGGTTTGTTGTGTATTTTGTTTAATACTTTGTTGATAAAGTTTCGTAGGTAATTGTTGTTTATGAATGTAGAGTATAAGTAGTTGCGTTCATTCTTCTTGGCTTCTTCTGTATTGCAGTGTGTTTTAATCCTGTTAAAGAGAGTTCGTATGCAACTAATTTTGTGTTGTGTTGGGTGATTGCTATTAAAGTTGAGTATTTGGTCTGTGTGTGTATTTTTGCGGAATACTTGTGTGGTTAATGTGTCGTCATGTGATCTGGTAAGTAGAATATCTAGGAAGGTAAGTTGTTTGTTCTGTTCTTTGTCCATGGTGAAGGTTATGTTCTGTGTGGTGTTGTTTATTGTGTGTAGAATGTGTTCTGTTTTGTCTTTTTCGACGATAGCAAAGATGTCGTCAACAAATCTTCTCCATAGTCTGATGTGTGCGTTGTTGGTGACTGACTGCTTTTCAAGATGTTGCATAACAGCTTCTGCAAGAAAGGTGGATAAAGGAGAACCCATTGGTGTTCCTGAGATTTGTCGGTAATATGAATTTTGGAAGGAGAATTCAGTGCAACATCTTGAACAGCTGAAGTGTCATCGATCCATCTCTTCATATGATCTCTCAAATGTAGTTTTCGTGTTATTACGCAATCGGTACAAGTGACGTCACGACATGAACTGCTGTACAAATAGTAAATCCCTGTTGAAAATATGATATGGTGTTGGATTGCATCGGTTGATTGTTGTGCCCAATTTAACACACGCCTTCGCTTTCATTCTTTGTTAAATTATTTTGCATAGCAATCTTAGTAAATAGATTGGCAATCTATTCATATGACACTTAACTTCCAGTACGCTAAATATCAAAACCAGAAAGTTTCAACCGTCGACCAGTAAAAGGTTTGTAAAACAAAAGACAAAGAATTATCATGCGTGTTTACTATACATAAATGTGACGTTTTTAAATTGTTCGCCAACTGTTAAGTCATTTTACATTTTGAATAAAATTTTAGTCTCATTCATTACCTATTGCACTCAAAGAATCGTTCTCTAATGTCTATTTAAAAAAGAATCGCTGCTCACTTTCCCAAATAATGTCGTACTATTTAAATGTAAATACTTAGCTAAGTTTGTAGTCTATAGAATGTAATTTAATGTTTTAGGAACTGTACTTTGTTAATTTAATATTATCGTAACTGAGTAAAAGCACTATTGATATTGCGCATTTAATAAAAACGACAAATTTTTTTAAAATAGACATGTTTCCACATCACATGATGCCGTTCGGACGCTCCCCATTAATTTATCTTATTTCCTTATTATTGTTATAATTTATGTATCATATTACTTTTATATAAACCTTGCATTATTTATTATTTCACTTATACTGAATACGGCATCATGAGATGTCGAAACATGTCTATTTTAAAAAAATTTGTCGTTTTTATTAAATGCGTAATTTAGTTTTCTTTTTAAATTTGTTTCTGTAAAATTTGCGCACGCCCCATATGGAAAACAACTCGCATGTTTACAATGGTTCGCGTGTTGAAATAAATTATTCATACATTAATTCATTCTACTGTAATGTCTTAAAATACCCTTCAAAATAATAACTAAAGCTTCCCACAATTAACCACTTGGCTCCAGCAACCCTGCCAAAATACCATAAATTATATATTATAAATAACCTTTAGAAATTGTAATTCTGTAATTATAGACCAATCAAACAAAGTTACCAATCAAAACAACAACAATTTGCTTACCAAAGACAAATCACTGTCATTTGAAGCAAGGTATGTTTATCTTAGTAAAATATGTGTGTTATTTCTATAACTTTGTCATGATATTAAATGACATTTATAAGTCACTAGTTGTTTTGTAAATATGGAAATTTTCTTCATTAAATTGATTTATATCTGCAATAAACTAGTATCACGTATTATATTTAAGTTCCAGTTTTTTTAAGCAGCTAAAGAATTTTGCGAATATTTGTTGTAACATTGCAAATGTGTTTTGTTTAGATGTATAAAAAAATATGTATTTGAAATTTAAAGTACTTTTTAAACAACTCTATCGGTAAAAGTTTAGTTTCAAAATATTTTTTTAAAATTTTCAACCCACAAAATTATTGATATTGTATTTTAAATATATAATTAGGTGCTATATGTGTTCTGTCATAACGTAGATCTTCCTCTATTTTGTGAAAAAAATTTGTAAAATGTTTTTCTTGTTAATGTAACAAATTTTTCTTATTTAATTTAGGTCCATAAAAACCATGTTTTATGCTACAAACCCTTTATCTGACATCATTGAGAAATGGCAAACTTGTGATTAAAATATGGACAACTTTGTGTAAAGTTAAAGGTACCATACACTTGCCTTTCATATCTGTGCATGCAAAGCGAAAAAAGGAATTTTGTTTGACAAAGGAAACTTTTTCTATCATTTCATTTTGATACATTTACTCGAATGTACATCACATCACACTCATTTCTTACTCATAACCTTCTCCCCTTGACCCAAATATGTACACTAAGGAAGATATGAAGAAATTACAATATAAAATATTGTGAAGTTAACTACATGAAAAACACAGTGGAATAGAGCATGTATATGTGACATCATTCATGTCACGTGTTCAAAGTTAAATGTTACAACTGGTTAATACATGCTTCATTACACATGCTTCAGTAGTTTTTCTATCTAAACATGCTTCAGTAGTTTTTCTATCTAAACATGCTTCAGTAGTTTTTCTATTTACACATGCTTCAGTAGTTTTTCTATCTACACATGCTTCAGTAGTTTTTCTATCTACACATGTTTCAGTAGTTTTTCTATCTATGCATGCTTAAGTAGTTTTTCTATCTACACGTGCTTCAGTAGTTGATCTATCTACATATGATTAAGTAGTTTTTCTATCTACACATATTTCAGTAGTTTTTCTATCTACACATGTTTCAGTAGTTTTTCTATTTATACATGCTTCAGTAGTTTTTCTATCTACACATGCTTCAGTAGTCTTTCTATCTACATATGATTCAGTAGTTTTTCTATCTACACATGCTTCAGTAGTTTTTCTATCTACACATGCTTCAGTAGTCTTTCTATCTACATATGCTTCAGTAGTTTTTCTATCTACACATGCTTCAGTAGTCTTTCTATCTACATATGCTTCAGTAGTTTTCTATCTACACATGCTTCAGTAGTTTTCTATCTACACATGCTTCAGTAGTCTTTCTATCTACATATGCTTCAGTAGTTTTCTTTCACATGCTTCAGTAGTTTTCTATCTACACATGCTTCAGTAGTTTTCTATCTACACATGCTTCAGTAGTTTTCTATCTGCACATGCTTCATTAGTTTTTCTATCTACACATGCTTCAGTAGTTTTTCTATCTGCACATGCTTCAGTAGTTTTTCTATCTATATATGTTTTAGTAGTTTTTCTATCTACACATGATTCAGTAGTTTTTCTATCTACACATGATTCAGTAGTTTTTCTATCTACACATGCTTCAGTAGTTTTTCTATCTACACATGCTTCAGTAGTTTTTTTATCTACACATATTTCAGTAGTTTTTCTATCTACACATGTTTCAGTAGTTTTTCTATCTACACATGCTTCAGTAGTTTCTACCTACACATGCTTCAGTAGTTTTTCTATTTATACATGCTTCAGTAGTTTTTCTATCTACACATGCTTCAGTAGTCTTTCTATCTACATATGATTCAGTAGTTTTCTATCTACACATGCTTCAGTAGTTTTTCTATCTACACATGCTTCAGTAGTCTTTCTATCTACATATGCTTCAGTAGTTTTTCTATCTACACATGCTTCAGTAGTCTTTCTATCTACATATGCTTCAGTAGTTTTTCTATCTACACATGCTTCAGTAGTTTTTCTATCTACACATGCTTCAGTAGTCTTTCTATCTACATATGCTTCAGTAGTTTTTCTATCTACACATGCTTCAGTAGTTTTCTACCTACACATGCTTCAGTAGTTTTTCTATCTACACATGCTTCAGTAGTTTTTCTATCTGCACATGCTTCAGTAGTTTTTCTATCTATATATGTTTTAGTAGTTTTTCTATCTACACATGATTCAGTAGTTTTTCTATCTACACATGATTCAGTAGTTTTCTATCTACACATGCTTCAGTAGTTTTTCTATCTACATGCTTCAGTAGTTTTTCTATCTACACATGCTTCAGTAATTTTTTTATCTACACATGTTTTAGTAGTTTTTCTATCTACACATGCTTCAGTAGTTTTTCTATCTACACATGCTTCAGTAGTTTTTCTATCTACACATGGAAGATATATGTCTTTGTTTAGACGAATGCTCATTGTTCTTGCATTCAGAAAATAATGACATTAGTCTACATCGTATTGTTCACAAAGCAATTATTGTTTATCAATCTGAACACTTAAATAAACAATGCCAAATAAAGCAAAATTGCAATTTGCCTTCTCTTCAATCAAACTTTGACCAAATAGCTCAAGCACTTTACATGTTTAAAGAGAGAGACGACGAAAGCAAATTAATGCCACATCTTGAAAAATTTCTTCAATTATTAAAGACCAACAAGACAAAAATCAACATGAATACTTTACAAGTTTTCCAATATTTTGTTGACAGATTAAGACATTTTGGGAAATACGATCTTGTTTTTGAAGTATTGGATAAATTGAAATCCGAAGAATCTAGTTATGACAAAGCTTGGTATTTTAATATCCTCGGTCTTTTATACTATGACACCGGGAAGTATAGCAAAGCTAAAAATCATCATGAAAAAGCTTTGGAAATTCGAAAACAATCGTTAGGTCCAAATCATGTTGATGTCGCTACGTCTTTAAACAATCTTGGTAATGTGTATTATAAAACTGGAAACTACGTCAAAGCTATGGATTATTACGAAAAAGCTATGGAAATTCAAAAACAATCGTTAGTTCCAAATCTTGTTGATGTCGCTAAGTCTTTAAACAATCTTGGTAATGTGTATTATAAAACTGGAAACTACGTCAAAGCTATGGGTTATTACGAAAAAGCTATTGAAATTAAAAAACAATTGTTAGGTCCAAATCATGTGGATGTCGCTACGTCTTTAGGTAACCTTGGTACGGTGTTACAAGAAACTGGAAACTACGGCAAAGCTATAGAGTTTTACGAAAGAGCTCTGGAAATTACAGAACAATCGTTAGGTCCAAATCATGTTGATGTCGCTACGTCTTTAAACAATCTTGGTTTGGTGTTATTAAAAACTGGAAACTGCAATAAAGCTATTGAGTTTTACGAAAAAGCTCTGGGAATTCAAAAAAAATTGTTAGGTCCAAATCATGTTGATGTCGCTACGTCTTTAAACAATCTTGGTATTGTGTATTCTAATACTGGAAACTACGACAAAGCTATAGAGTTTTCGAAAAAAGCTCTGGAAATTCGAAAACAGTCGTTAGGTCCAAATCATGCTGATGTCGCTGCGTCTTTAAACAATTTCGGTATGATGTATACTAAAACTGGAAACTACGACAAAGCTATAAAGTTTTACGAAAAAGCTCTTGAAATTCAAGAACAATCGTTAGGTCCAAATCATGTTGATGTCGCTACGTCTTTAGGTAACCTTGGTACGGTGTTACAAGAAACTGGAAACTACGGCAAAGCTATAGACTTTCATGAAAAAGCTCTGGAAATTCGAAAACAGTTGTTAGGTCCAAATCATGTTGATGTCGCTACGTCTTTAAACAATCTTGGTACGTTGTTTGTTAAACCTGTAAGTTACGACAAGGCTAGAGAGTTTTTCGAAAAAGCTCTGGAAATTCGAAAACAAATGTTAGGTCCAAATCATGCTGATGTCGCTGCGACTTTAAACAATCTTGTACTGTTACAGTGTCTTATAAAACTGGAAACTATGGTCCAAACCATGTTGATGTTGCTGTGTCTTTAAACAATCTTGTACTGTTATTGTGTCTTATAAAACTGGAAACTATGACAAAGCTATAGAGTTTCACGAAAAAACTAAAGAAATTCGCAAAAAAAAAACGTTAGGAATTAGTCAGGTTGATATCGTTAAGTCGTTTAAAAAATCTAAGTGTGTTGTATTATGAAACTCGGGAATATGACCAAGCTTTACAGTTGAACTTTGGTGGCTACGTGTTTCAAAGAAAATTGTGCCTTCCAAATTATGTCAATTTTTACACATAGACCGTAGGAGCAAGGTTTCCACCTGCCAAATCAGCTCCCCTCTCCCTCAGAAGGTATTTTTGGTAGTAAATGAAACGTTTGCATGTTGCATTTTTTGAGGTAAAATGAACCTAAAGATGTAATGGTCCTTGTCTATGTATAGTTTCATTGATATCTAGTTAATAAACTTACTCTACAGCCAGGAATCTGTATATTTTTCGAAAGGGAATGTTAAGATATGAACATCACGCGAAAAACATAAACAACATAGCCTTGCATGCATAATGAAGTAGATATGACACATGTCAAGATCAAGTGACATTGTGAACTTGTTAATTCTAATATCGTTGTTAACTTATACGTAAGTTGTTATTTTGTTCCACAATAAAATCATAATATTTCACATATTATCCGAACGTTATTGCCGAACCTCGAATAATTTAACAGAATCATCCTAAGTAGAACTTAGAACTACCCATGCCCTGAATCTGACATTGTCCTTCATACTTTACTTCTAAAGTAAGTTGTTTTTATGTTATAACCAAGTAGTAATTTTTATTGTATGATTCAATTCTAAAGTATATTGGGATGACAGAATTTTATGACATAAATTTTCTTAAATAAATACTTTCGTGTTAGTTTTTCATATTCTTTGATACATTCAATAATTTTTTACCCAGCTCCATAGCCTATGACCATATTCCAGGTTTCTATAATTTCCAAGGGATACACCTTTCATACCATATATACCACCTCACCAAGCTGCAGCCAATATTCCTGTACTGTCACTATCTCCACCATGAAACATAGAACAAGAACAAAATTGAAACCAGGAATCTTTTGCCATAATCAAAGCATCGTAAGCAATCATTGGTGCATCATGACTACTGAACCCACCCCAACCTGCACAACTCACAGATTTATAAAAAGCATCACGTTCAGGTATGTTATATGTCACTGTAAACTTTGGCTCACTGGTTCCATTCATTAATCCCTGTAGTTCAAGATTTTACTGCCTTTTTTTTGATAAAAAACTGAAAAGTACTACTTTTTAACAAAAAACTATTTTTTTGGAGAAAACTACATTTTTTATGAGAAAAATATAATTTATAAGAGGAATAAACTATTGTGTTTAGGAGAA